AAAACATATTCAACAAAATCATAGAAGAAAACTTTCCCAACCTAAAGAAAAACGTGCTAATGAAAGTACAAGAAGCCTACAGAACATCAAATAGAGTGGACCACAAAAGGAAGTCCCCTCATCACATAATAATTAAAACACCAAACATACAGAATAAAGAAAGAATATTAAGAGCAGCAAAGGAAAAAGGCCAAGTAACATATAAAGGCAAACCTATCAGAATTACACCTGACTTCTCCATGGAAACTCTGAAAGCCAGAATGACCTGGATAGATATCTACCAACACTGATGCCAGCCCAGACTACTATACCCAGCAAAGCTTTCAATCACTATAAATGGAGAAAACAAGATATTCCACAACAAAACCAGATTTAAACAATATGTAACCATTAATCCAGCCCTACAGAAAGTACTGCAAGCAAAACTACAACCGACAGAAATTAACTACACTCACAAAAACATAGGCAATAGATAACCCCACTTTACCAAAACCCAAAAGAAAAAGCAGGGTAAATCCACATGTAATACCACTACCAAAAACAAATCAAAAACAAATGAGAATAAGCACTCAATAGACCTAAATTTCCTTCAATATTAATGGTCTTAACTCGCCTATAAAAAGACACAGGCTAACAGAGTGAATACGAAGACAGAATCCATCCTTCTGCTGCATACAGGAAACACACCTCAACTTCAAAGGCAGACATTACCTCAGAGTAAAGGGTTGGGATAAGATATTCCAATCAAATGGACCAAAGAAACGAGCTTCGGTAGCTATCCTAGTATCTAACAAGATAGACTTCAAACTAAAATCAATCAAAAGAGATGAAGGTCATTTCATATTCATCACAGGAAAAACCCATCAGGAAGAAGTCTCAATTCTAAACATCTATGCCCCAAATATAAAGTTACCAATGTTCATAAAAGAAATATTATTAAAACTCAAATCACAAATAAGACCCCAAACAGTTATAGTGGGAGACTTCAACACCCCACTCTCTACATTGGACAGGCCCACCAGACAGAAACTGAACAAAAAGACAAAGGAACTAACACAAGTTATGAACCAATTGGGATTAACAGACATCTATAGAATATTCCATCCAAACACAAAATAATATACCTTCTTTTTTTTGTTGCTGTTTTTTCAAGACAGAGTTTCCCTGTGGCATTGGAGACTGTCCTGGAACTAGCTCTTGTAGACCAGGCTGATCTCGAACTCACAGAGATTCTCCTGCTTCTGCCTCCCAAGTGCTGGGATTAAAGGTGTGTGCCACCAATGCTAGGCAGAATATACCTTCTTTTCAGCATCACATGGAACCTTCTCTAAAATCACCACATACCTGGCAACATAGCAAACCTCAACAGGTACCAAAAAATTGAATAACCCCCTGTGTCTTGTCAGACCACCATGCTTTAAAGTTAGAATTCAAAAACAACACAAATTGCAGAAAACCTACCAACTCATGGAAATTGAACAACACACAACAGCACCATTCCTGGGTCAAAGAAGAAATAAAGAAAGAAATTAAAGACTTCTTAGAATTCAATGAAAATGAAGACACAACATACCCAAACTCATGGGATACTTTGAAAACAGTACTAAGAGGAAAGTTCATAGCTCTAAGTGCTCACGTGAAGAAACTAGAGAATAGTCACATCAAAGAGTTGACATCACAGCTGAAAGCTCTAGAACAAATGGAAGCAAATTCACCCCAAAGGAGTAGACTCAGGAAATAATCAAACTGAGGGCAGAAATCAATAAAGTCAAAACAAAGAAAGCAATTCAAAGAATCAATGGAACAAAGAGTTAGTTCTTCGAGAAAATCAACAAGATAGACAAACCTTTATCCAAACTAACCAAAAGGCAGAGAGAGAGAGAGAGAACATGCAAATTAACAAAATCAGAAATGAAAAGGGGGACATAACAATGGACATTGAGGAAATCCAGAGAATCATCAGGTCATACTTTGAAAAACTGTACTCCACAAAATTCAAAAATTTAAAGAAAAGGGATAATTTTCTGGACAGATGTCACTTACCAAAATTGAATCAAGAACAGATAAGCAACTTAAACAGACCTACAACCTCTAAG